GCCAGCAGAGGAGGGAAGTTGGGGGCAAATGGGCTGGCAGAGGAGCAGTTAGACATCAATCAGGCTGGCATGGTAGTAGTTATGGGTTGATCAGGCTGGCATGCAGAAGCGGTTAGGGGCAAGTTAGGCAGGTGAGCAGTTGGGAGCCAGCAGTCCTGGATTGTGAGAGGGATGTCCAACTGCCCGTTTAGGCCCTATCACAGTGTGATCAAAGATGGCCACACCCATGTGGACACAAGATGGCTGCCGCAAGATGGCCAGCAGGGGAGGGCAGTTGAGAGGGACCGGGCTTGCAAGGGAGGGTAGTTGGGGGGACCAGGCTGTCAAGGGAGGAATGTCCAGGCCAGCAGGAAAGGGTAAGTTAGGGGTGACCAGGCTGGCAGAGGAGGGCGGTTAGGGAGGCTGGTAAGGGAGTGATTGGGGGTGATCAGGCTGGCAGGCAGAAGTGGTTAGGGGCAATCAGGCAGGCAGACAGGTGAGAACTTGAGAGCCAGCAGTCCTGGATTGTGAGAGAGATGTCCAACTGCCCTCAAGGGGTCCCAGGCTGGAGAAGGTGCAGGCTGGACTGAGGGACACCCCTCCATGCTGTGCACAAATTTCATGCACCGGGCCTCTAGTGAATGATAAGAGTCTAAGGCTTAATTACTGATGACTAATGAGAAGCAAGTTCAGCTGTGTTTTCACAGCACTGATCCCTGTCTTCTTCATCTTTATATCCCTCCTTCTCAGCACATAATAAGCCCTAATTATTGAGAGGCAAGATTCGCTTGACTAAAGAGGAGGGAAAAGCTAATAAAGTTCGAGCCTTGTTGAGGAACTGGGGTTAACTTTTATAAAGGAAAAGGTGCTTCCTAAAATATGTTTGTTTCAACACAAGGAAATTAAAACCTCATTCATCTTCTAAGACAATTGAGCTCCATTAAGTATTGATGCTACAGCTATCTTAGAACAGGTACCATTTGTAGTTGTGGAGAAGGCCTCAAAACCAGTATCACTATCACATGTACCAGTTCTCATCAACAAGGACTCACTGATTGGGAGGAGGGCAATTGGGAAGGACTGTTTCCTCTTGGAGCAAAGTCACTTGAGAAGGAAGCAACGAGGCCAGGACTTAATACAAATCATTCCCTGTTTTGTCCCCTCGGGTTCTGCTCTGAGCTAACAAAACTAAACAGTACAGTAGAACAACATTGACAGTAAGCACAGCACCATTGGCTAGCCAAGACTATGAGCACTGTGCCAAATGCTTTAAAGCCATGTCATTGCACAGGAGAAATTTAACTGTGATTCTCTTTCCTCTTCCTATTTTTAAGATCAAAATGGTGGCTTTGACTCTTTATGCGATCTTTAATAAGATGTTTTTACTTTGCCACAGTTATAGTGCACAATGAATTGCCACAGGCCATACAACTCCCTGTTGGCATTGACCAAGCAAACTCCATATATACTATTTATGTGCTACTGCATGTATGCAGTTATTATCAAATATTTATAAAAGAACCACTGCATCAAGAACAACATATGGGATATTCAGAAAAATAAGAAGAAAAATACAAGACACAGTCTGTCCCCAAGAGGCTTACCATTTAAGGGGAGTGAAGGCACAGCAAGTGGAAACAGCTATGCTGGTAGGTGTGCCAGCCTTCACGGAGAGATTAAGTAAACAAAACCATTTTGACCTTATGATGATGCCATTTGTTCAGGTTGCTATTCAGATTGAAATTGGATGAGGCCGTGTTATGTTCATAGGACAGGGAGACCTGGGTTTTAGTACCAGCTCTGCCATTAAATCAAGTGAACAAAGTTGTCTAGATTCCCTGAGCCCCGCCTTCCTAAACTTGGAAATGGGAGTATTTTCACCTCTAGACTCTGTAAATAAAAACCTCCTCCATTTCCATCTAAAACGGGCTGTAATTTAAGAAGTTTTGACCTAGAGAGATTGTTTAAAGTGATCATAAATTATTCTCCCTTATCACACACACATACATATGTGTTTGTCTATCTCTATATATAGTAGGATTTCAACAAATCTGGCTTGAATCCCAGCACACCCAATTCTTCTTGTTTAGCTAATTAATATATTAAATAAGTCTTATGAGTTCAGTGCATTCCCAAATATGGTTTATCTAATCTTTTGCTTTGCTATCTTTACTTATCAGTATTTTTCTCAACACACTATTCAATCCAATGAAAAGGCTCAGAAAAATGAAAGATCCATCTACTCCTTTACTTTGCTACTGTATTGTGTGTGCAGTGAATTCTCTTCTAATACAGCAGATCCAGGTGCAGTTCTGATCAAATAGTCTTACCTAAAATAACCATTATCAGTAAAACCTGATGACCAGAAGGATTTTAATCCTCTGACCTCACTCCAGCATGATAATAATTTTTAAAAATTCAAATATTAATATAAGAAGCTGGTTTTATAACTGTGCCTGGGGTGTAATTTCAAGAGTTCCTGGTGGGAGGGAGGCTCCTTTTTCATTCAATGTCTTTTACTTTTTACAGATTTGCTATGGGCTTGTGTAACTTTAATTATAATAAAAATTAAAAGGCGATATTGGCCAACACTTATTGTGCATTTACTATGTGCCAGGCCTTTTATATGCATTACCTCATTTATTCCTCGCAACAACTCTAACACAAATTATTTTAAGTTTTTCCATTTTATAGATGAAGAAACGGGGTTAAAAACATATTCAAGAACATACATCCATTGGCTCTACTGACATCTTAAGGGAATAAAATTATATGATAGAAATAAAAAATGGTGTGAGAAGTTAATTTACCATACAAAAGTGAGACAGGAATGCCCTATCAATAAAGGAGCATGTTTATTAGGTAGATGTTGGCCAGCCTTACAATACCAAGTCATGCTGAAATTTAGGCTTGGCTCCAGTCTTATAATCCCCAGGTTTTCACTTGTCCATTCTACAGAACCCATTTCTCAACCATCTTGTTAAAGTATTTTATTGGAATTGGAGGTTTCAAATATGGGGGGATGTTGAGATGGATAGCTCATTCATTCAGTCAAACCAGAAGATCAGTGGTGTGTTATTTGTGATCTCTTTCTTTCTCACACCCACATAAATGAATGTGGACCTTTAGAGAAACCAACACATCAGGGTGTGGTTCTTAACAACAAATCTACTATTTTCAAATACCTGGCAGATGGAAGAAGTCTGCAGAGAGTAGCAACAATTATTTTAGCAACAAATAAAAGTATAGAACATTCTTCTTGTGCTTCTCAGATTGTTATTTTCATTTTGCTTAATTTTTATATCTAGCTAAGACTGGGCATGTTTATCCATACTATAAATAGCACAGCTGATTTCCAGTGGCAAGGTGTAATAATTCACACACCAGCACAAACCTCAGAGGCACCACATGCTCATTTTGTAATATTTTCCCAATCCTGTTATTAGTTTTAGCCTTAAATTACCATAATTCTTTCCAGGAAGCTCCCAATTTGTGAACAGGTTGACCTTGCAGGATGTGTTTTTCCCCCCAATCACTATTTCTTCCACCAACATTTATTAAGGACTTACTATGATCCAGATATTCTTCTGAAAATAGAGCTAAGCATAAAGAAAATGGGCAAATAACCCATATGTATAGTCTAGTTAAGGAAGAGAGGCAACAACAAAATAGGTAAAAAAAAAAAAAAAATACATAGTATATTAGATGGTGATGAGACCTATGAGAAAAATGAAATAGGGAGTTGGAGAGGGAGGGAGAGAATTGAAAGTTTAAATGGAGTTCTTAAGGAAGACCTCATTGAGAAGGTGACTTTTTTACAAAGACTTGAAAAAGATGAGGGAATGAGCATGTGGAGATCTGGAAGACAACTGTTCCAAGCTGAGGGAACAGTAAGTGCAAAGGCCTTGAGGCAAGATATGCCAGGCATGAAAGGGAAGAGCAAGGAGATAGCATGTTGGAGTAAAGGGAGCAAGAAAAACTGGAATAGTAGCTGATGTGCTTAGAAAAGTAATAAGGGCCAGATCTTATAGGGCTTTGCAAACTCTTGTAGGTTTTTTGTTTTGTTTTGTTTTGTTTGTTTTTATTGATTTCAGAGAGAGAAATGGAGGGGAAGAGAGAGAGAAATAATGATGAGAGAGAATATTGATTGGTTGCCTTCTGCAGATTGAACCCACAACATGGGCATGTGCCCTGACAGGAATCTAATCGTGACCTCTTGGTTCATAGGTTGATGCTCAAGCACCAAGCTACACCAGCCAGACTGAAAACCTTTCCAATGACTTTAGATTACTTCAATTTCTCATAGAAATAATATTAATTGTGGGACATGTTCTCAGAATGACCCACCAGAGCCTATTAAACCCATACTGCCATTGAACTAAGGTGCTAATCAGACTCTGGGAAGCTGATCTCAAAGCACTGTACTTAGATCCAGGAGGTAGAGGTTTGACTCATAGCTCAGTTGGGTGACTGTGTCATTTAACATCTCTGAGCCCCATTTTTCTCCTGGGAGAAATAAGGATAACCAATATCTACGCCATGGCTTCATTCTGGGGATCAAGTGGAAACAAAATATAGACGTACTTTGTAGACCGTAGAAACACTATATAAATGTCAGGAGGGGTGGGAACATTCTTATTTCGGGGAAAATTAAGCCCAGGACCTTAGTCAAAATGCCAGGAATGCAACTTTCCCTTTTTCTCATTACTTCTTTTTAAATAGCCGTGGGAATAAACCTCTCCTTCTCGGCACTGGAGGTCAAGGAGAGAGTCAGGACCCTGCTGATCTCAACAGAAGGCACCATCTGGGCTCCCAGCAGATCAGTCGTAACTCACAGAGTGTTTGTACACTGAGACCCCCCGATGGTTGTTGGGTCTGTTGCCAAGGGGTCATTCTCGCAAAGAACCATGGCTTCCCTCCAGCGGCCCTGTGAGCCTCCCCAGCTCAGGCTGCCAGGCATTAGGCTGTCTTCAGATGGACAACTTCTCCAAATAACCACAACCTCTTCTCCTTCCCACCAGGCACTCCTCCTACGGAAGGCTTCTGGATGACCATGACTACGGGTCCTGGGGAAACTACAACAACCCTCTGTACGACGACTCCTAACAGAAGAACATGGCCTGGGGAGAGGGATAGCCCTTTATTTATAAGTGATTATCCTGTAGAATTGATAACAAGTACCTGACGCGCCTTGAGCGACAATCTTAAGCCCTGTTTTATTGGTTTGGTTGTTTCATTTTCCTCCCTCTCCTTTGGCTGCTACAACTTCCCCTTTTTGGTACAAAAAGAACCATTATGTAAAGGTGTGTGGAGGCTGATTTGCAGCTGAAATGGGCCAACCTTCGATGCCAGGCCAGACCACCACGATGGAAGCTTCTGCACCCATCACCACAGGACCCACTGTGAGGACAGGACAAGGAATCCAAGTGTTTTGTTGGGGGTTACTTTTAGGGGAAATTTCTGTTTGTGTTATTTCTTTAACTTTTATTTAGAAATTGACATTAAATTTCAGTCAGTGGAAGAGAAATGAGTAGTGGGAGGATCTCACCTGCAGGTGAGGAAGCAGTGGTTCTCAGATTTCTTCTGAAGTTCTCTTTATCTGGCTGTATCTGACAGGACCCCTGTGTGGCTCTACTAGCTGCATCCTAGCCTCTTAGCTGTTTAATTAATGAAAGAGGAAACTAGAAAGTGCCCCGAGGAGGGCAGCAGGCAGAGGGGCAGAGTTGCAGGTTGCTATCAGATCTCAGAACACCTTCTACCTGTTCTCCCCTCCTGACCACCATCATCTCTGCTAATGATGCCTGTGTCCTAGGCATCAGCAGCCGGGATCCCAGCCAAGAGCATTTATGGAGTTGTGTTTCCCCAGGAACTGAGCTTAGAGAGTAAAGGGAGAGGCGTGTGGAGGGAGGGAGCTGACATGAACTGAGTATCTCATTAGGTAAAGTGGGAATCAGCTCTCAATAAAGGCCAGAGGCATCCACTGCTTGGAGGAGCCCGGGGATTCCTTGCTTGATGCCCACAAAGCAACTGGTTTACTGCTAGCTGTCTGTAGGATAATGACTATCAACTGTTTAAGAAAAAAATATATATTTTAAGACGCTATCTGCAATTGCTCTGTGAGGCATTTCCATAGGAAAGAGATGCAGTGATTAATCCATACACTTACCTTGCTAATTCTGCCCTCTACTAAATCAAGACCCTGAGTAGATAGTCTTAAAATTCTGCATAATAAATTTTGAGAAAGAATGGGTCTTTTTTGCAGGTACCCGTTTATTGCAGTAGTTCTCAACCTGCAAGACAGTTTTGCACCACCACACCCCAGGAGATTGGTGGGGGGAACATATGAAGATGTCTGGTGACAGTTTTGATTATCGCACTTTAGCGATGCTAATTAGTCAGTAGAGCCATGGATGCGCTGAACATCCTAAGATGCACAGAAGAGCCCACCACAACAAAGAATTATTTGGCCCAAAGTGTCAATAGTGCTGAGCTAGAGAATTCCTAACTTATTGCCATGCCCAGCATAACAGAACAAGGCACTCACAGATTTTTAATTAAATAAAATGATTTGTTAAATTTTTATCTCAAAAGTATTTCATTTTCTAGCTGATAGGTTGTTTTGGGCATGCCAGTTGCCTCTCTATTTGTTTGTGTGTTCTTGATTAGCTTTATTTCATGGCTATAATGACCCTCCTATAACACATGATATTAGCAACTGGCATCTGATGTCCTGATTTCATGGAGGATAAAATATCCATTGGGTCCCATTTCAAAATGTGTTATATTGTCTAGCTATGTCATAAAGAGCTTGACACTGGTTGATTTTTATTTTTGAACTTGGACCTGCTGCCATGACTCTATTAGTTTCCGGAAACTTGACCCTCAGCTCATCCTGTCACTTGTTGTGACCAGTAAAGTCCTGGCCTAAACCACCATTGCCAGTCTGTCTGTCCTAAACCCCTCTGGTGTCACAGACACCCGGAGCCAGGCCATGTCCACAAACCTGCCATCCCACTTTCTAAAAAAAGAATTTCTTCCTAAATTCTTTAGGCACCAAAGGAGAATGAGCAACCTCCAGGGCAATTTTTAAAAAGGAGTGAGTAATGAGAGGAATTCTGATATCTCAGATTATTTAAAGCAAAAAAAAAAAAAAAATGTTTAAAGTGGCTATTCTCAGAAAAAAAAAATGGGCAGGAATGGCCAACCATGACCCCTTCAGCAACAGTTGGCCTGAATAACTGTCCTCCTTTCCCACCCTCATTTCTTGCCTAGGCTTTCATTTTGGCAAAGGATAATTCAATTAAATCAGAACATTCCATATTTTTTTCTCCCCCCAAAAGCATTCTGACAAAGTGTCCAGGAAACCCCTGGTAGAGGTGCAGTTCTGGACACTGCTTTCGTCATAGACACTGGATCAGAGGAGCCAGCCTCTTGCCAAGGAATTCTGACCGACACAAGCCATGGACTCAGCCAGCACCTTTCCTTACGGAGGCTGTGATTGTGCAAGAGCAGTTGATGCGTTTGGTGTTCTTATTAACTTCCAAATCCTTACAGAAGAGAGAGGGCCATGGGCTTAAAGCAGATCTCAACCAGCAGGCAGTTTTACACCTCCCCCAAGGTGACAGCTTCCCATAAAAACTCTCACTCCTTGAGAGGTTAGTTTAAAATACCAATGAGACAAACCTTATTTTGCCAAATGCATTTTTTCTTCTATTTTTGAGTTGGCCAAAGGATTTTAGCAACTGAGTTCAACAAACTTGCTACACACACACACACACATACACACACACACACACACGAAATATGTGGATAATTGACCTTTACCTCAGGGAGAGTCTGTCCAGCTCTACCCAAGAGAAATGGCTCCATCAGATATAAACAACCACATACCATCCAGGGACAGGAATAGTCAAAGCATTAGAGGAATGTCAGAGCAGGAGGGAGGCAAGCAGCCTCTTCTTAGACTGTAGCTTATAAATGATGAAATAATGAGATCCAACTTTGTTTTCTTTACTTGTGGCCCCAGTGAAGGCTCTGCTCTCTCTGGATGCCTGTGTTGTCATTTCTTAAATGGGGCTGATGCTTTCATATTGACCTCACCCCATGCTACCTCACAAATGTGTTGTGAGGACTAATGAAACCATATCTACAGTGTTTTCAGTTTCTGCAGAGGAATATTTATAGACATTTTCAGTATTTTAAGTATTCTATAGGCATATAAGTGATCTCATTTCCTTGTTTGTTGTTATACTGGTGTGTTGTTTTTACTTAAATCTATAACATGACAGCTGTATCGTAGCCACATCAGACAGCTCTTACTGCTTCAGGCTATCCACCAGTGCAGCTACTGATTGAAGGTTAACCACACCTGGAACCACAAAGGTTAGCTTCCATCTGCAAATGAAGGAAGGTTGAGACATATGCTCAGACTGTTGAGTTAGGACCCAGGAGGTTAGGGTAGCACAATATGGATGCCTGAGCACTAACAGCCTTTGCCATCTTGGGGTCTTCTGGGTTTTTTGTGGAGTTGATTTTGGTTTGATATCATCTGTTTTCCCTTCATCTTGCTTGCAAGGGTGCATGGCTCAACCCCTTGCATCTGATAAATGAATTTTGCAACTGGGCTAGATGCTAATTTGCACGTCGATCCACCTTCTTTGCCTTTAACCTTTTTTTTTTTTGGCAAATGAATGCACCATTTCAACTTTGATTTAAAAGTTCTAGTTGATATTGGTAATAAGTGCTAACCAAGAGATCAATGCCAGATTGCTTTCTTAGGGTGAGTTAGCCAACATCGTTTAAAGATGGAAAGATCTGCAACTTCTTTGATATTGGATGTAATTGTATCTACATTTGTTGTAAGACTTATTGTATACCAATTATATAAATTTAAGATGTTAAAAGCTTGTGTCTGACAATGGTGATTCGCATTTTTATATGTTTTGTTACTCAAGCCATTCAGTTGATATGCCCAATATTGCTTATATTATTAAGAGCTACTTAATATAAGCAATATTGGGCATATCAACTGAATGGCTTGAGTAACAAAACAATGCTTGCTCTCATAGAAAATTTATTCCACATCAATAAATAACATTTTCTATAGTGCAGGGAATTATCTCTGATATTTAAAAAGAATTGAAGAATATCAGGAATAAAGCAATTTTCCAAACAGTAATTTTACTATTAACTATATACCAGGTCTTATAAAACAGATTAAAAAAAAACACTTTGATTCAATGAATAGATGGTGATGCATAATCAAGTCACATAAAAGCATATTGGCATCAGTAGTACATTTGATAATACTTGGTTCATTCTCTTTCAAAAAGTTACATTCAGTATACCCATCTTTATCTAACAGTTAAATGCAAGCAATATCAACCATCCAAAATATAATTTCAACTTTAAGAAGCTAAACAAAGATTATTCTGTTTCTGAAGCAAAGAGCAACACCATACTTGTAAAAGGTCTCATCTCTTCCCTTAAGGTACCTAGTCTTTGGCAGATGCAGAATGGACTACATTTACTGCATGAAAGCAGCATTAATCAATTTGAGCAAACAAATAATTGCATTTCTATTTTAAGCAAGACACTGAATATTTGCTATTTTTAAAAATGATTCTAATTAATACTCATTATGGACTTTAGGTGCCTGTGGGCATTGTCAAATGTAATCTTTGCATCAGCTATTTTGGCCATGGATTTTGCAACATATGAGAAAATGGAACCATCTACAAACTAGAGCTCATTGGTGTCACAATGCATGTAAACTTCACATCACATTTATAAGCTTAGATACCTGGGTTCCAGGGCACAGCATGGGCAAAGCCAAGTCAGGAAGTAGAAAGAAAGCATGGGACAGTCCCTTTCTGACTGATTATTTGTTATTTCTTGAGGACCTAGTATGGGCATGAAAACAAGTAAAGACTTCATTATTCCAAGCATGCCTGAACAGAATTGGTCAGAAATCACTTTTACATGCACATAGAAAGAAATGGCTTATAATGATATCTAGTGTCTATATAGTATGAACTCTTGGCTTCAAATCCAGTATTTTCCCAAGTATTATACCTTTCTGAAGTCAGATCATAATCTGTTTAGAT